ATCCCGGGACTCCAGGATCATGACCTGAGCCGAAGGCAGTCGCTTAACCAACTGAGCCACCCAGGCACCCCCCAAAAAATAAAACCTTAAAAAAAGAAATTAATCTGCTTTGATAGCTCGGTGAGTACCTACTATACCTCACTATGTAAATTATCATCTTCTGCAAAGAATCTAAACTGAATGACTGACCCTCTCCTCCCACCACATAGAGATTATGATTCCCAGAGGGAAGGGTTAGGAAGAGCCAGAAAGACAAATAAGATGTATGGCTCTGTCCTCAAAGACTTAGGAGCGTGCGCCGCACACACACGCACTCCAGTACTATATACATGCATATATATTATAGTAGGGGAATATATTAATGAGAATATATTTTAAGGGGGGTAGTCATGTCTGGTTTATCACTATGATTAGCTTCTAGCTGAGCCTGGAAGGACAAACAAAAAAGCTCACAAAGAACTCAAGGAAAAGAAGAGAAAAGCATTCCAGGCTGAAGGAAACCACCCCCAAACCCTACCTCTCTCCCTCCTGTCCCGCCCCCCGCCCCCCACAGGCTTGCAAAGGATGAGCACGTGCAACATCCAGCTGGAATGCTGCCCTGAGAGCAGGCTGGAGATAGGAAGAGGCCAATGTTAGAGGACACAGGGCTCCATGGAGTTGGGCTCAGGCCTCTCTGACTTCAAAACTAACGCTCTTTTTGTCATCTTCTCTCTTTGAAAGACAACCCAGAACCCTCTTAGCCTGCACTGTGGTTTATTGAAATTTAGTCCTCATTCTATCCCCTATAGCAAAATAGGTCATTCGTCCTGAACTGGAGAGCCCTTCCATGCCAGAAAAGAATTCTCTTGGTCTAGCTTAGTCTTTTTCAAGGTAAATACCCTTCGTTCCTTTAATGGTTTCTCTCTGGTCATCATCATGATCATCTTCCTCTGGATGTGATGTGGTTTATGAAGCTGTATCTTCCAGAATAGCACCTTGAACAGTGTTGGACCACTGAACACCATCGGTTTAGTGGGTTGCACCCTGTGACACTGTAACTCCTGAGGTCTTTTTTTTTTAAGACTTTTTTTTTTAAAGATTTTATCTATTTATTTGAGAGAGAGAGAGAGAAGGAGAGAGAGCACAAGCTGGAAGAGAGAGCATGAGGAGGGGGCAGAGGGAGTCAATTTTTTTTTTTAATTTTTTATTTTAAGTGAGCTCTAGGTCCAATGTGGGGCTTGAACTTACAACCCAGAGATCAAGAATCACATGTTCTACTGACTGAGCCAACCAGGTGCTCCCCCCCACTTTTTTTTTTTTTAAGTAAAAGCATTTCTTTTCATCTTTTCTTTATTGTTATAAATGTGTGCATTCTTAAGCAGCTTTTAAATGTATTGTTCTGAAAGTTAACCCTTTCTTGAATACATTTTTTAAGGATTTATTTATTTGAGAGTCAGAGAGCACAAGCAGGGGTGGAGGGGAGGGCAGAGGGAGAGGGGGAAGCAGTCTCCCTGCCAAGGGTTCTGAGGACTCAATCCTCAGACTCTGGGATCATGAGCTGAGCCGAATGAAGGCAGATGCTTAACCGACTGAGCCACCCAGGCGCCCCTTGAATACATTTTAATAAAAGTTTCCCTATTCCAAATACATTTTTTTTTAAAGATTTTATTTATTTATTCATGAGAGACAGAGGGAGAGAGAGAGAGAGAGAGAGAGAGAGAAGCAGAGGGAGAAGCAGTCTCCCAAGGATCAGGGAGCCTGATGCGGGATTTGATCCCAGGACCCTGGGATCATGACCTGAGCCGAAGGCAGATGCTTAACCATCTGAGCCACCCAGGCGCCCCTCCAAATACATTTTAATGAAAACATTTTCTATTCTCTGTAAAATGTTCTTTCAATATTATCTAAATATTGACTAAGGATTTTGTAATCGGTAATGGATACAAAAGTGTTTTCATTCTTAGTTCTGAAATGGTGGATAGATAGAAATAATGGACTATCTTTTGGATTGTGAGTGTCATGAAAGCAGGGACTCCATCTTGCTCATCTTTGTGCTCAGGCTCCTAGCACAGTGTCTGACTCTCAGAAGGCATTTAATTTTTAATCAACAAACAGTGCTGATGTGAGCCAAACACAGTTTAAAATGCTCCCCAGATTTTAATTTATTTCATCCTCATAACCCTATGAAGGAGAAACCGCTATCATACGAATGTCACAGGTGAGGAAACTGAGGCACAGAGAGCCTAAGCAACTTGCCTAAGGTTTAGGAGGGAGTAGCAGGGCTGGGATTCAAACCCAGACAGTCTGGCTCCAGTGTCCTTGTTCTCAGTTACTTTGCTCTGCTGCTTCTCATCAATGTTGAATGAGGGCATGATGGTTGGATTAATCCATGAGGAATGCTTTTGTTAATTTAGGTCATTTATTTTATCCTACAAATATTTCATAAGTGCTTCCTATGTGTCTAGCATCCTGAAAGAAATTTTGGAGAAATGGAGAACTACAAGAGTTTGTAATTTTGTTAGAGAGGACACACACACAATTAATATTACAGAGGGCATATTAAGTGTCATACTAGTAGCTCCCACATAGATGCTGTGGGAATTCAGAAGGAAAAAAATGATTATATAAGATACAGGGCCATGTGGCAGACAGACCCTAGGTGGCCCCATGATTCCTGCCCCTGCTGATCACACCCTGTATAATCCCCTCCCCCGAGAGTGGGCAGCACCTATGACTTGCTTTTAGTTAATGAATATGGCAAAAAAAGGGAGGGGGATTTTGGAGATGTAATTACCCCTGAATCACTTGATTCTGGGGTCAGGCCCTGGGTGGCCCTAAGTTACCAAATAGAGTGAGAGCCCCAAGAAGAAGAGGAACTGGGCCTTCCCTGAGCTGAGAGACTGTCTTGGTGGACTTAAGTAAGTAGCCATGTTGAAGAAGCGCATGGCAAGGAACTGTGGGCAACCTCTATGGCCTGAAGGTGGCCTCAAGACAAACAGCTAGGAAAAAGCTGGGGCCTTCCCTCATAAAGTTGCAAGGGAATTAATTTTGCTAACACCAGTGAACTTAAAAGTGGAGTTTTCCTCTGTCAAGCCTCCAAATGAGAACACGGCCTGCAACTGACATCCCAACAGCAGCCTTGTGAGAGCCTGACCAGAGGACTGTTAAGCTGTGCTCAGATTCCTGACTCATGAAAACCATGAGATGATAATGTGTGTGTTTTAAGCTGCTAAGTTTAGTGTGTGATCATTTGTTATTAAGCAATGGATAGCTAATAGGGACCCTTCCAGATTTAGTGGATATGGGGGAGAAGGGAGACCTCTCTCTGCTTATTCCTAGATTTTATGATCATGGACAGGGAGAATTAAGCTGTTATTGATAGAAACAGGGACATCAGGAATAGAAACCAATCTGAGTGGGGGACAGGAAAAATAATGAAGACGTAAATTTTGATGTGCTTAATTTGGGGGAAATACAAATGCCTGAAGTCATCTGGAATTTTGGAGTGGAGTTTAGGGAGAAAGGGCTGACAGAAAATTCGGTTATTCTCAGCATAGAGATGACAGCTGAAATCCTAAGAATAATAGAGTTCTCTAAAGGAAGGGTTTCAGAAAGGAAGGAGCAGGAGAGTGACTGTAAATCTTGGGGAAGGGCCTCTGAGTGGGGGAGGGGGGAAGGAAGGCAGAACCAGACCCAAGGGAAGCAGTACTTGTGGAATCATTAGAAAGGACTGGGATTGGGGTGCTTGGGTGGCTCAGTTGGTTGGGCATTCAGCTCTTGATTTCCTCTCAGGTGGTGATCTCTGGGTGGTAGGCTCAAGCTTCACGCCTGCTCCCCGCTCAATGGAGTTGGCTTGAGATTCTCTCTCTCCCTCTCTTTCTGCCCCTCCCCCTGCTCTCTCTCTCTCAAATAAATATATATATAAAATCTTTTATTTTATTTATTTGAGAGAGAGAGAGCACATGAGGGGGGGGGGTCAGAGGGAGAAGCAGACTCCCCGCTGAGCAGGGAGCCCGATGTGGGACTCGATCCTGGGACTCCAGGATCATGACCTGAGCCGAAGGCAGTCACTCAACCAACTGAGCCACCCAGGCGCCTCTAAAATATTTTATAAGATATGTATTTGACAGAAAAAGAGAGAAGGAACACAAGCAGGGAGAGTGGGAGAGGGAGAAGCAGGCTTACTGCTGTGCAGGGAGCCCGGATGTGGGGGTTGATCCCAGGACCCCAGGATCATGGCCCAGCGGAAGGCAGACGCTTAACGACTGAGCCACCCAGGCGCCCCAAATAAAATCTTTTTTTTTTTTTTTAATTTTATTTATTTATTTGACAGAGAGAGATGGAACACAAGCAGGGGGAGTGGGAGAGGAAGAAGCAGCCTTCCCGCGGAGCAGGGAGCCCGATGCGGGGCTCGATCCCAGCACCCTGGGATCGTGACCTGAGCCGAAGGCAGACGCCCAACGACTGAGCCACCCAGGCGCCCCTAAAATCTTTTAAAAAAGAAAAAAAGAGGACTGTGATTAATTGGTTCTCCTGCGCTGCATGGTCGGTTCCCTCCAAGTGTAATTATAATGCAACCGCTAGGAGGCAGTCTATTTTACAGGTAGGAAAACTAAGGACTTAAGGGTTTAAATCATCTAAATCATTATCACAATAAAAGCCAGTGAAAGCTGGATTCTAACTCACATATCATACCAAAGCCAGGGATCTTTCCACTGCATTTAATTCATCTTTATTTTCCAAAGAGCGTAAAATGAGTAAGTGGGGGCGAGGACAGGGGAGAGCTCTCCAGGTTGCGGGGAGCGGCGGAGAGAAACCGAGGGCATCCTCCCGCCGCTGCTCTTCTAGCCGCCAGCAGAGGCCGCCCGAGTACAGACTCCGCGGGCCAGATGCGCGCAGGCGCAGGCGCAGGCGCAGGCGCGCTCGACTCTGCTTTCCCTGGCGCGCCGGGCCGGTGGGGGCGGGTCACGCAGATCGCGAGGCCAGGAGCAGTGCTGGTGGCTGGCGGCTGCGGCGGCGGAGCTGCGGGGCCGGGAACCGGCGCGGGGCTCTGGGTAAGCGAGGCGCCGCGCAGTGGTGAGCCCGCCGGGAGCCATGGAAATCGGCACCGAGATCAGCCGCAAGATCCGGGTAAGGCCCGCGTCGGGCGGGGGCGGGAAGCCGAGCCTCAGCGGGCGGGCGCGCGGTTGTCAGGAGTAACGGGGACTGTGGGCCCGGCCTGGACGCCGCGGCCTAGTCGCCGCCGGGGGCTGTCGGCGAGCTGCGGGGTCGGCGAACGACTTCTCCTCGGCCTGGGCCGCCTCGGGCCGGCGGGCGAGCAGGGCCGCGGCTGGAGAAAGCCGCCGGGAGCGGAAGGAGGCGTGGAGCGCCGGGCGAGAGACGCGCTCGGCCGCTGCTGGAGGGGCGCGCGGGGACGGGGGAGGGGCCCTGGCGCCTCCCCGCCCCCACCTGAGACCTGAGCGCCGAGGGGGCGGGAGGTGCGCGCAGCTGCCAAGTTGCCTCTGCGTTACGGAGCCGGGCGGTTTTCCGCCTTTTCTCACACGCACGTTTGTCTTTCTCTTCTTCCCTCAGAGTGCCATCAAGGGGAAATTGCAAGAATTAGGAGCTTATGTTGGTAAGTTTTGTGGTTGTCAGCGTAATAGAATTTAGACTTTGCTGCTAATTGAATTTTAGTGAATGCATTTTTTTCCCCCCTTCGTGCTTTGGACTTTGGAGAAACCCCGTTTTACTTTCAAGTCTGATTCTCTGCGGTTTCTTTTTCTTACTGTCTTTTTTTGAAATCTCTATATGCAACCTTCCCCCCCCCCAAAAAACCCGCTTTTTAATATGCTGCTTTTAAGATTGTTTAGCCTCCTCTGTTGAGGCTCTGTTTTATTCTCCATGTTTATTTGATTCTGTTTTTCCTATTCTCTTTGCTTTCCTCTTGATCTTTTTGTTTCAGAACTGTTATTTTGCATATGAATGTTTTTTGGCAGTTTCCTCTGTCGCGGTTCAGTGAGTTTTATTTTCAAATCTCTTTTTTCCTGTCTCTTTTCCTTTTAGCACCCACAGTAATGTGTTCTCTTTCTCTTTATGCTTTTATGATTTATAATTTGATCAGTCACTGTGCTTAACCATTGTCTATGCGTTAGGTCATGATAATATCCAGGAGAACACTGGAAGGTAAGTGGTAATACTCCTACTTGTACAAGCAAGGAAACAGGCTTTGAGTGCTTATTTGAGCAGTGATTTATGGATTGAGATTTGGGTCTGTTTGGCTCCAAAGCTGGTGCCTCCTGTAAAAGTAATTTACGACGTGGTTCTCAAGGTGTGAGAGACACCAAGGGTCTCTGAAGTCAAAACTATTTTCTCATTAATACTGAAAGGGTACTTGCCATTTTCACTGTGCTGACATTTGGATTGTGCAAAAGCAATGGTGAGTTAAACTGGTGGTACCTTAATCTGGAGATCTCACCCCAAACTCTATGAGAAATCCTATCACCCCTCTCCTGGGAATTTTTTTAAAAAGCCAGTTTCACTTAGTGAAGCAGTAAAAATATTTTTTTAAATCTTGGCCCTTGACTACGTCTTTTAAATGTGTGATGTGAGAAAATAGGAATTACTCATGAAGTACTTCTGTATATTAAAACAGGTTGATTTGTCTAAAGGGAAAGGATTTCTGTGAGTTAGCCACCTTTTTCATGGAACATTATTTTTGTCTTCTAACACTGACAAACTAGACATACACTTGAATATTTGGCAGACATTTTCTTGAAAGTGAACAGAGGAAAAGAACTGATACGCTTTGTTACCAACAACAAAAGTTGAGCTTTCAGGTGAAAATTAGAATTTTGAAAAGTTTGTTTCTGCTTTCATGAACTTGAAAGCTTCCCAGTACTTAAAAGAATTTCTGATGATGACATTAACAAATGATTCTTTTGTATCTTGCAATGAATTGTATCAACATGTCAGTGATTTGTATAGCTCTCTGAACCAGTAGTTTTTCAAATGATCAATGCATGATGTTACAAAATTATACAAGGGAAAAAGATTCATTAAAAGTGGAGGATGGATCAATGGATTTTCATGTAACAAGGTACAAAAAGGTGATAGAGTTTTAGTTTCCATATACTGCCTACCTTTGAGAAACTACCACTTGTTGAGTTTTGATGTAGTTTCACAGAAGAATGTCCACATTATCTGAAAAGGCTTTTAAAATACAGTTGACCCATAAACAACTTAGGGGTTAGGGCTGCTGGACACTCCCCTCCCTGGCACAGTTTAAAAGATGAGTATAATTTTTGACTATCTCCAGATTTACCTACTAATAGCCTACTGTTGATCAGAAGTCTTATTGGTAACATAACTAGTCTGTTAACACATATTTTGTATATTATATGTATTCTATATTTTTATAGAAAATAAGCCAGAGAAAAGAAAATATCACAGGGGCGCCTGGGTGGCATTAAGCGTCTGCCTTCGGCTCAGGTCATGAACCCAGGGTCCTGGGATCGAGCCCCGCATCAGGTTCCCTGCTCCGCGGGAAGCCTGCTTCTCCCTCTCCCACTGCTTGTGTTCTCTCTTGCTGTGTCTCTTTCAAATAATAAAAAAAAAATCTTAAAAAAGAAAAGAAAATATCACAAAAGTCATAAGGAAGAGAACATGCATTTTTGATACATGTATCAAAAAAATCCGGGTATAATTGGACCCAGGCAGTTCAAACCCATGTTCAAGGGTCAGCTATACTTTCTTTTCCAACTGTGTATTTGTGAGGCCAGATTTTCGTCATATTCTTCAATTAGAGCAACATACCATAACAGGTTAAATGCAAAAGTGGAAATTGAATCTAGCTTTTTAAAAATCAGATATTAAGAAATTTTAAAATTATAACTAGTTTTATGTTATTTCTTTGGAAAATTTAGTTATTTTTTATAAAAATGTTAATTATGTGATATAAATGGGTTTATTAACATGTGATAAGTATGTTATTTTTTTTTTTTAATGTTTTATTTATTCATGAAAGTCAGAGAGAGAGAGGCAGAGGCAGAGGGAGAAGCAGGCTCCCCATGCAGCAGGGAGCCCGATGCGGGACTCGATCCCAGGACCCCGGGATCATGACCTGAGCCGAAGGCAGACGCCCAACCATCTGAGCCACCCAGGTGCCCTAAGTGTGTTATTTTAAATGAGACTTAAATTCTCATTTTTTCTAGCATGGTAATTATCAATAGATAGTTCACATAAAAGTTCTTTTTTGTCGTTGGTAACAAAGTGTATCAGTTCTTTTCCTTTGTTCACTTTCAAGAAAATGTCTGCCAGATATCCAAGTGTATGTCTAGTTTGTCAGTGTTAGGAGATAAAAATAATGTTCCATGAAAAAGGTGGCTAACTCAGTCATGACCTGAACTGAAATTAAGAGTTGGAAGCTTAACTGACTGACCCGCCCTGGGTCATCAGAGCATAAAGCGAACCTGAGACCCAACAGTTTGAGAATTACTAATTTGGGCGCCTGGGTGGCTCAGTCGGTTAAGCCGCTGCCTTCCGCTCGGGTAATGATCCCAGGGTCCTGGGATTGAGCCACACGTCAGGCTCCCTGCTCAGCGGAGAGCCTGCTTCTCTCTCCCCCTCTGCCTGCTACTCTGCCTATGTGTGCTCTGTCTCTCTCTGTTAAATAAATAAAATCTTAAAAAAAAAAAAAGAATTATTAACTTATCACATGCTGAGCACTTTTTATAAATTATTTGTCAAGATTGTTCTAAGCCTTTAACAGATGAGAGAATTGAAGCTCAGAAGTAAAGATGAAGCTGAACCAGAATTGATTTATTATTTGTTCAACACTTAATGGATACCAGCTATGTGTCAGGAACTTGTTTGGTTCAAAAAGAAATCTACAGAAAATCTCTAGCATAAACTTTCTTAGTTCTAGCACATGAAAGCACAAACATGTATTAATTGAGTCTAAGTTCAGTCTTACTGATGATTCCTATCATTTTTTTGAAGATTATTATTATTATTTTTTAAAGATTTTATTTATTTGAGAGAGAATGAGATAGAGCATGAGATAGGGGAGGGTCAGAGGGAGAAGCAGACTCCCTGCTGAGCAGGGAGCCCGATGTGGGACTCGATCCCGGGACTCCAGGATCATGACCTGAGCCGAAGGCAGTCGCTTAACCAACTGAGCCACCCAGGTGCCCCGATGATTCCTATCATTTATCTAAAATCTCAAACCAAGAATTTTGAGTCTATTAAAAACCTGGTTTATGAGTTTAATGTTGTTCAATGTGAAATGTAATTATAGTAAAAATATAAATAGTTTAAAAAATAAAAATAGTTTGATTTTCAGAATATTTTCATATATTCCTGAACACAGTGCTAAGTGGGAATGGCAGGTAGTAGTATTCCTTCTACAATAAAAAAAAATGGAGGGGCGCCTGGGTGGCTCAGTCAGTTAAGCATCTGCCTTTGGCTCAGATCATGATTCCATGGTTCTGGGATCCGGCTCCCTGCTCATCGGGAAGCCTGCTTCTCCATCTCCCTCTGCCGGCTCCCCCTTCTTGTGTGTGTGTGCGCGCGCGCGCGCTGTCTGTCAAATCTTTTTTTAAAAAAACACTAAAAAAATGGAGTCTTGGGAGTAGTAGAGCTGGTCAGTAGCATATTTAAGGCCAGAGAACTCAGGTCTGTGTCCTTGATGCCAACAAAGGCATAGGAGTCACTCCTGTGTGCTCCTCTAGAACTCCACTGAAATCTCTTCCAGTGATTGACACATTAGCATGGCTTCCCAACTTGAGTCTGTTTCTTGACTGGACATTTCTTGAGGGCAGAGACTTAGTATTTGTGATGTCCCAGTGGCCTAGCAGAGAGTATGATTTTTTTTTTTTTAATAAGTGTTGATTAAGTAGAAAAACGGGTTACAGTTATTCTGAGATAAAAGTATACGTTATGAATTTAGGTTTACAATTAGCTACCTGATTGTATGTATATACATCATTGTCCTTCTGAAAAGGATGACTTTCTAATCCCTCTCTCTGTGTAAGAAAGAGTCCTGGAAATCTTTAAGGTTATGGAAGCAATAGTATTTAATAAGTATCTGAGTATTTATTTTCAAGGCATGGGGTGGCGAACAACTCTTAGGAGTGATAACTTCTCATTTGTGTTTGTTTAAAATGGAGCACTTCAGTGGGAAGGCGATTACGGTTCAGAGCAGTCCTTCATTCACATCTTATTTTTTATTTAAAAAAATTCTTTTAGTATAGTTGACCGTTTCGTTCACATTTTAGAAGCCTGAGCTTTGCATAAAGCTCCAAAACACTCACTTTTTTCCCAGTATAGATTTCAAATAAATTTGAGAAATCCGAAATCTGTGGAAATGTATCGTGAACACATTAATTTTTCATTAGATTCTTATTTTCTCTTTTGTATACTGAGAAAACTATGAATTTCCGATGGTTTTGTTGAGATATAATTAGTACATTAACATTGGTATATTAAACTGCGTATTTAAAGTGTATAATCCGGTAAGTCTTGACAAATACACATGATAATTAGACTAATGAACGTCTTCATTACTCCCAGAAGTTCCCTGGGGCTCCTTTTTATCCTTCCTTCCCACCTTTCCTTGCCTTGACCCTGTACTGGAGCAGCCACTGATCTCACCTAGAATGTTAGAAAATGCAAGCTAGGGCGCCTGGGTGGCTCAGTTGGTTGGGCGACTGCCTTCGGCTCAGGTCATGATCCTACCTAGAGTCCCAGGATTGAGTCCCACATCGGGCTCCCCGCTTAGCAGGGAGTCTGCTTCTCCCTCTGACCCTCTTCCCTCTCGTGCTCTCTATCTCTCATTCTCTCTCTCTCAAATAAATAAAATCTTAAAAAAAAAAAAATGCAAGCTAATAGAAAAGAAAGAAAATGTGCTTTCCTGTCACTATTAGCTTTCTCTTCCTTTCTCTGTCTCTCTCTTTCTTTCTTTCTTTGACAGAGAGGGCATGCACCAGCAGGAGGAGCGGCAGGCAGAGGGAGAAGGAGAAGCAGGCTCCCCACTGAGCAGGGAGCCTGATGCAGGACTTGGTCCCAGGACCCTGGGATCATGACCTGAGCTGAAGGCAGACTCTTAACCCACTGAGCCACCCAGGTGCCCAGGAAAGCACATTTTCATCATTGACATTGTGAGGGAGAAAATCTGTGAAGGCTGGCAAAGCATTCTAACTTTTTTTGTTGACCTTTCCTGGGTTACCAATGGTAGTCCATAGGAGGTAGGTACACTTTGCATAAATAGGCTACCAGGTTTATTGCTGTAATTGCCAGAAACAGTGGGAACCTTTTGATACTGTGCAAAGTATTATAAATGACTGGCTTCTTGTTCCCACTTATATTCCCTCACATCATATTGCATGATTTCATTAAATATTCAGATTTCTTCAAAAGAACAAAAAGGCAGCCTACTGAATGGGAGAAGATAATCTGCAAATGATACATCTGATAAGGGCTTCATATCCAAAATGTATAAAAAACTTACATAACACCAAAAAAAAAATCCATTTAAAAAATGGACAGAGGACCTGAACAGACATTTTTCCAAAGAAGACATATAGATGGCCAACAGACACATGAAAAGATACTAACATCACTAGTCATCAGGGAAATGCAAATCAAAACCACATATATCACTTTACACCTGTCAAAATGGCTGGAATCAAAGAGATAAGAACTTTGCAAGGATGTAGAGAAAAAGGGACCCTCATTCCATTGGTGGGAATGCAAATTGGTGCAGCCACTATGGAAAACAGTATGGAGGTTCCTCAAAAAAATTAAAAATAGGGGTGCCTGGGTGGCTCAAGTCGGTTGAGCATCTGCTTTCAGCTCAGGTCATGATCCTACCGTCCTGGGATTGAGCCCCACGTCGGGCTCTCTGCTCAGCAGGAACCTGCTTCTCTCTCTCCCTGGCGCTCCCCTTGCTTTTACTCTGTCTCTCTGTCAAGTAAATAAATAAAATACTTAAAAGTACTATATCCAGTAATTCCACTATTGGGTATTTACCCAAAGAAAACAAAACCACTGATTCGAAAAGAACATGCTTCTCTATGTTATGTTGTAGCATTATTTACAATAGCCAAGAAATGGAAGCAGCCCAAGTGTACCCATTGATAGATGACTGTATAAAGAAGGTAAGAGGGCACCTGGGTGGCTCAGTTGGTTAAGTGACTGCCTTCGGCTCAGGTCATGATCCTGGAGTCCTGGGATTGAGTCCCACATCAGGCTCCCTACTCAGCGGGGGGTCTACTTCTCCCTCTAATCCTCTTTCCTCTCGTGCTCTGTGTCTCTCATTCTCTCTCTCTCAAATAAATAAAATCTTAAAAAGAAGATAAGAGATATATATACGTGTGTGTATATGTTTATAATGGAATATTATTCAGCCATTAAAAACAAGGGGATCTTGCCGTTTACAACAACATGGATGGACCTAGAGGGTATTACGCTAAGTGAAATAAGTCACACAGAAAGACAAATACCATATGATTTTCTTACATGTGGAATCTAAAAAAATGGGCACCTGGCTGGTTGAGTCAGTAGAGCATGTGACTCTTGATCTCAGGGTCGTGAGTTTCAAGCCCCATGTTGGGTGTAGAGATTACTTAAGTAAAAAATAAAAAAACTAAAACCAGCCCTGACTCTTAGATACACAGAACAAATTGGTGGTTGCCAGAGGGGAGGTAGGTGAGGGATGGGTGAACTAGATAAAGGGGATTAAGAGGTACAAATATCTAGTTATCAAATAAGTCATAGATGAAAAGTACAGCACAGGGAGTATAATCAGTTTTGTAATAACACTGTATGGTGACACTGACTCTGCGGAGGCAGGGTTGCCACCTAGACTAAAATTTCTTTGCAACATTTTTTTTTGTTAGTAAAATTGCAAGAGATCTAAAATATCCAGTGACATAAAATGAATAAATTGTATATTCATACCAATAGAGCAGTAAAAAATTTAGATTTCTCTCCATTTGTAGATTGGGCTAAGTATATTTGTGCTTTTCTTGAACTGGATTTTTGATAATTCTCCTTGAAACAAATGTTTTATACTACTTTTTTTGTCTGATAGTACTTCTGAAATGAACCTTTCTGCCTACTTAGAAATACAAATCTTTAAGGTATTAAAGAAATCGGAAGGAATTTTTTTGGTGGGGATTAGAGTTCTTGATAAATGCCTTTGCTTCCTTATCTTCTTACTGTGGTGGTTTTGTTTTTGTTGTTTTTGGTCGTAGACCTCACCTTCATAATCATTGTGTTAGGAGCGTATGAGGATAAAACAGTGAATGAAGTTGAAATTATTTAAATAAATTTTTTAAATGAGAGTTTTTGGGTGGTTTTAGTTTATTTGCTGTTGGTGCAAATTGGTTACCCTGAGATAATAGAAATCTGCCTTTACTGAGGATAAAGATGTTCTCGAGAAATGAATATCATTTTGAAACATAGATAAACACAAAACTAGACAAAACTCAATTATTCTTGAGGAATGTCCATATGCTTTCTGGAAGCTTCTCTGAAATTGATGAGCATTATTAAAAAGATAAAAAGACAATACACTCTCAAGTTTGATACTGTAATTCACAATATCTAGTTTTATAAGTATTTGTTAGTTATTCCTAATTCCCATCCTTCTAGTAATTGAAATACCTATGTAATGAAGAGGGGAAAAACTATCCTTTCTTGTCCAACATAATTCTAGTAGAGCTGAGATATTAATTTTTAGAGCTATATTTTCAAGTACATTGACTTTTAAGTAGAAGACAATATTGAGGAAAACGTAAAGTTTTTATATACTTTTCCTTTTAACTAGATGAAGAACTTCCTGATTACATTATGGTGATGGTGGCCAACAAGAAAAGTCAGGACCAAATGACAGAGGACCTGTCCCTGTTTCTAGGGAACAACACAATTCGATTCACCGTATGGTATGTTTCTGAATTTTTACCCCTTAGACCAAAGTTTGTCACAAGTCAGAGTAGGTAGTCTGTCTGAAAAGAGGTTCTTGACAGGAGAGTGAGATTCACTGTGGAGAGGGAGGTAGTGAGCCATGAGAGCACAGCTTCTGGAGCCAGACTCCTGAGGTTGAATCCTGGATCTGCCTCTTGCCTTGGTTTTTCTGTTTGTAAAATGGGATTAATAAATCCCCTTTATAGGACTGTTGTAAGGATTAAATGAAATAGTACGTGTAATGTACTTGTAGCTGTGCCTGGCCCATAGCAAGTCCTTAGTCTATCTTAACTGCAGTTGTTATGTTTCTTTTGTAAATGTTTGCATCTTATTCCTTTCCCCAACCAAAACCAGTTTACATGTATTTTGGGGCTGGGTTGACTTCCTAAATTGCTTTCTCTAATGAGTTAACCTTTAGGAGGCAGAGTTTTTGGACAAAATTTCAAATCATTTTTAAAAGTTTGGAACTTTCTGAAGTTTGGAATTTTAAAAAGACAATTTTATGTTCAAATATAAATTCATGTTATAATTTTCAGTGTTCTTTTTCAAACCAAATATTGTCTTTAGTTTAGAATAGTGACTAAAAGCATAAGATTCAATTTAAGAAGGCAGATTTGAGGTAGAGCGAGGGTGGCGGGAGGGTAATCATGTGACTGAGAATAGATCAGGAAGTACTCCTATAAGCGCCCTCACTCTGGGAACCACCAATTACAACATAAGTTAATAATGGAGCAAAAGTTGAGTGAGCAGAGTGGCCTGCTTGCTTTGGATGGCAAGAGACTGGGAGAGGTAATAGGCATTAAAGAGGGATATTAAAAAGGGATATAACTGGTTAATTTCTTGCCTTTAAACTAAATTTTATCTTGAAGATGTTTTTGCCCCTGTGGGCCATTATATGCTTTGCAAGTCTTGTGAAGTTTTCTTGAAATTCAACACAGAATTCTTTATGTTTAGATTATACAGTTTTGTATGACATTCAGTACAGTGGTTGATCCTCAAATTTTTTGGTACAGCCAACTACTGCAGAGTGGGTGTCCTAACCCACTCATTATACTTAGTCCCCAGAATTTACCAAAAAAGAGAGAGAGAGAGACTGTGGTACTTTTGACTGGGGAAGTTATCATGAGTACGTTTTTTTTTTTAACTCTTCTGCACTCCAGGTATTTGTTTTGTTTCATATACGTTTTATGACTTGACTTTTGGTTCAACCTTTGTATCACTTTTTGGGTTTGAGTCCCACTAGTATACTATGGATGATTGACCTAGAGATCCTTTCTTAGATAACTTGATGGAATGCTTGGGACAAATTTCTTACATAAAGGACTAAACGAATTTGAATTTAAAATCAAATTAATTCAATTTTCTCATCTTGCCATAAATTCCTTAATATGTACTGATGCAAGTTACGGTGTCTCTGTTTGAACTCTTTATTTTCCTGGTTAAGTGTTCATTGACATCAGCCTGAAATGGACTATTATGATTGTTTGGAGCCCTGCAATAATTGTGTCCAAGGGGACAGCATGTGACTGGGTTCTGGGTGAGACATTATAATGAGATATTTCTGGTATTTTCAGGAGGTACGGCTCTTGGAAGGGATTGTAAGGCAAATTTGCTTTGCACATAACTATTAAAATAGGCTATATTATAAGCAAGGTTGTAACCTCTGCTTGTTTACAGCATTAGTAATGAAGTGATATGTTTTGATACTATTTTTCAAGTTTTTTCACCTCTCAGAATTAAGTTGTTCCAGAAACCATATAAATAGATAAACTTTGCTTAAGTAATTGTAGTAATAAGCTGTATTACATATTTCTGATATTTTATCTTTTACCATATGCTACACGGAGTCTTTAGTTCTTATAAAACAAAATTACATTCTTTGTAGATCAAGACTGTGGTCAGATAATATCTTTGCCCTTATTTGTACAGAAGATAGATGTTGAAAGTAATGATGAAAAAATAATGAGTTTTGTTTGGCTTCTATAGTATTCATATAAGCCTTTTTTAAAAATGTGGCATTTCTTTAACTTTGATACTTTCTGTCCATTAATTACCATTTATCAATATTTATATCTGAAGGAAGATTCTATAACTGTCATCAAATTTCAAGTGATAGTTGAAATAAAATCTTGATTGAGGGAAGCTTTAATATTTTTGTTTTTTTTTTCTTTTAGGCTTCATGGTGTGTTAGATAAACTTCGCTCTGTTACAACTGGTAAGATTCATTCAAACGTTTGGAATTTACTGTAGCATTTTCTTTTAAGATCTTATTTATTTGCAAGAGAGCGAGATCACGAGCAGGGAGAGGGGGGCAGAGGGAGAAGCAGACTCCCCGCTGAGCAGGGAGACCGATGTGGGGCTTGATCCCAGGACTCTGGGATCATGACCTGAGTCGAAAGCAGACACTTAACCGACTGAGGCACCCAGGCGCCCCTAACATTTTCTTTCCAAGCCATTTACACTGCTTTGGAAAAAATCCCATAAATTTGAAAATTAAATAGTTTCTTGGAACTTTCTTAATAAGCTCATGAATTATGAATTCAAGAGCAATAAATTTAACATAAAGATAATTTAAACAAGGTAAGGGAAACTATGCAATTTATCCTAAGGAGATAATTGTAAATGTGTGCAGTGTTTTTAGCTTCAGGGATGTTTTAATATTTTATTTATTTAGTTTTAAAGATTATTTATTTGAAAAAGAGAAAGAGAGCACGCATGAGAATGTGGAGGGAGTACAGACGGAGAGAGAGGATCTCAAGCAGACTCTGTGCTAAGCACAGAGCCTGACATGGGGCTCAGTCCCACCGCCCATGAGATCACGACCTGAGCCGAAATCACTAGTCGGTTGCTCAGCTGACTAAGCTACCCAGGCGCCTCGAGGATGTTTTAGTATTTTATATTGGAAAATTACTTAAAATTTCAGTAATAGTAAATTTAATTATTAACTACGTGTGGAGTAACAATCAGCCATTAAAAATGTTGTGGTAGGGGCACCTGGGTGGCTCAGTCACTGGGCGTCTGCCTTCGGCTCAGGTCATGATCCCGGGGTCCTGGGATCGAGCCCTGCATCGTGCTCCCTGCTTGGCGGGAAGCCTGCGTCTCCCTCTCCCACCCCTGCTGCTTGTGTTCCTTCTCTCGCTGTGTCTCTCTCTGTCAAATAAATAAATAAAATCTTTAAAAAAAAAAAAAATGTTGTGGTAGAACACATTGCTTTTAAATTGGTGATGAAGAAGGGAAGGGTTCAAAGTTAATAAAAACAGCTTAAAAGGACCATGTGTTTCTCTTTCCAGACCCTTCCAGTCTTAAGTCTTCTGATACTAACATCTTTGATAATAACGTGTCTTCAAACAAGAGCTGTTTCAGTCGGGGAGATGAGAGAAGGCATGAAGCCGCAGTGCCGCCTCTTGCGGTGGCTAGCACTAGACCTGAAAAAAGAGATTCCAGGGTTTCTACTAGTTCACAGGAGCAAAAAACCACTACTGTCAGGTAAGAGTCCTGTGTAGACCTGCAGTGGGTAGATGGGTATGTGTATGTGACCTTGACATTAGTTTTTAGATCTTTAAATTTTTGTTTTCAGAAATTTTTGGAAATACTGAGGTGGTTGTGAGCAATTTTTTTTTAATAAGATAATGATAAGACCTATGTATGATTATCTTTTACCTCAAATATAGTAAATCAAAGTTTTAAAAAAGAAAGTAATTTTAAAGTAGTTTTTAACGGAATACGTAAAGGGAGTATCTAAACTCTTTCATTAAAATTTAAGTATTCTTTGAAGATTTGAAGATACTGCTCTTGGTTAAAATTTTGTGTGTGTATTGTTTTTAAAAATAGACAGACTTATGATGATGGAGCTGCAACCCGATTAATGTCAACTGTGAAGCCTCTGAGGGAGCCAGCACCCTCTGAAGATGTGATTGATATTAAGCCAGAACCAGATGATCTCATTGATGAAGACCTCAATTTTGTGCAGGAGAATCCCTTATCTCAGAAAAAACCTACAGTGACACTTGCATATGGTTCTTCTCGCCCTTCTATTGAAATTTATCGACCACCTGCAAGTCGAAATGCAGATAGTGGTGCTCATTTAAACAGGTTGCAATTTCAGCAGCAGCCAAACAGTATTCATGCTGCCAAGCAACCTGATGTACGGAACAGCGGGGTATATGAAACAGGACGTTTGTGTGAACCGGAAATGCTTAACAGCTTAGAAGAGACTTATAGTCCTTTTTTCAGAAACAACTCAGAAAAAATGAGTATTGAGGTTTGTATATATATATATTTTTTTTTTTTTTTCTTTTTTAATTTTTAAAATTCTTTTATTTTTTTAAGTAGGCTGCATGCCCATCATGGGGCTTTTGAACTTACAACCCTGAGATCAAGAGTCACATGCTCTACTAACTGATCCAGCCAGGTGCCCCTGCATATATGCTTTTAAATTCTGGCTTCTTAGGCTGAAAATTGGCATTTCTTAAAACTGACTATGTCTGAAATAACTAAACACATATTGCAAGTTTACTTTAAACTGATTTCTATGCTACTTAACATACTACATCAGATTTTCTTCTCCACAACTGGCTTCTATAGATATTTTACATCTTGTTTACCTTCCTGGGATGCCAACATTTGAGATAACTGTAACCTTACCTTATAATTTTGGTGGAATTTTAGGTCAATTTTAGATTTTCCACAGCAGTTACTAGGAAACAACTAAGTAATTCCATTTTATGAGTTCCCTCACCGGTGCTATATTCTGCTGTTTATAATGAACGTAAAGCACTAGTTTTTGTTTTAGCTAATGATTGGCTATTAAGATAATATTTATTTTTATAAGAAACCAGGAAATAGCTTGTGAATTCTTAACATGATTGGCCTTTTCTTGGGAAAAAAAAATACTGTGGTAGAACTTTCTTTTTTCTCTGAGACTAGGTAAGCGTAAATTTATCTGATTGCAGGAAGAAAACTTTCGGAAGAGAAAGTTGCCTGTGGTAAGTTCAGTTGTTAAAGTAAAAAAATTCAATCATGATGGAGAAGAGGAGGAGGAAGATGATGACTGTGGGTCTCGTACAGGAAGCATCTCCAGCAGTGTGTCAGTGCCAGCAAAGCCTGAAAGGAGGTACCTTGACCATTGTCTGTAAATTAATCTTTAATTGCCTGATGGAATCTTCTGGGTTTCTTGAAGGAGGATATCATGAAAATAAAATTTTAATAGCATGTAAGACTTTTCTGTTGGTTTGTGAGAAACAGATTAATGAAAGAGAAGTTGCTTAAAATTGGAGAAGATTGCAGAGAATACTAAAAACTGGAATATGGTGGGGGGAGGGGGTGATCCAGACTCATTATTTAAAAAGTTAAAAGGTTCCAATCTAGTTGACATTTCCTAAAAACTACACCTAGTCTGTACAAAACCTAAGAGAAGGCTGTAGCAAAGGCCTAATGGATAGCTAGCATGTGAAGAACTCAAATCTAAAATTTAATCAAAATACTTTTAACTTTTTTTAGACCTTCACTTCCACCTTCTAAACAAGCTAACAAGAATCTAATTTTGAAGGCTATATCTGAAGCTCAAGAATCTGTAACAAAAACAACTAACTATTCTACAGGTAATATAATGTATTATGTTTACATTAAGGGAGTTTTCTTTAATTCTTGAGGAAGTTAGAATTGATTGCTTCCCAAGTTGTGGTATAGTAAAGACACTTGCCGGATGTCAGGACCAAGAAGAGGTTCAGAGAAGAACGGTTTTAGAAGGAGATCACTTTGAGAAACTTCCAGCTGTCAGTGTAATTTAGTTCTTTGAGCAACTGTGTAATGCCTTTTATTCCCTCTTTCTAGTGTGTGTGAAATATAAAATTTTTATAGGGAGTTTTGATAAAGGTGGGACTTTCATATGGCATTGGAGTCAGCATTTGATAGGAATTTATGATCTATAAAAGGGAGCAGAGTTGGATATTAAGAAGTCAGGGTTAGAAAAATTGGGCTAGTGCATGAGCAGATTGGCTTCTTTGCTTTCAGTAGAACCCATTAAGGAATATAAGGCAGAGAAGACTCATTTGTGATGTTCCTTCCCCAGTCCTAGTGGAAGTACTAAATTATTTTATGAGAGAATATAAAGGTATTGCATGTTTTTAAAACAAAGGAAATAAGTCACATATAACCTGACCTTACAGAAAGCTTGTTCTGAAATCAAACTAAATCATGGGTGCCATATTGCTATAAATTCTGTACTCTGCCCCACGTGCTGAAGCCAGTGTGTAAAACTTTTGGTTAATAAAAACTGATGATTGCCCACGCTAAAAATTTTTGTTTTATTTTTGCTGTGGATTTGATGACTGTTCTTTTAGCATTTTTCTGCTTTTTCATTCTTTTTTGTATCTCTTTTTGTGACCCCTTCCTAAAGTGGAAGTAAATTATGTTATATCAGCTTTTGAACCTCATAGGTATCCTCTTGCTTCTCCTTTCTGACTTAACCTTGAACATAAACAGGTTTTGGCATATATAAGGATTATCAGGCAAAGGCCAAAACTAGACCTGATCTGTTTACATTTCATTTCTTTGTCTTTCCACAATTTAGTTTTTTGTGTTTTTTTTTAAAGATATTATTTATTTGAGAGAGAGAGCATGAGCAGGGGTGGTGGGGAGAGGGAGAAGCAGGCTCCCCGCTGAGCAAGGAGCCCTATGCTGGGCTCGATCCCAGGACCCTAGGATAATGACCTGAGCCAAAATTGAGTCAGATGCTTAACCAACTCAGCCACCCAGGTGCCCCCCTGTTTTTATAATAGTGGAAGATTCCCCACATATTTTTGAGAACTAGCATTGAAGTTCATTCTTGACCTATATTATGTAAATTATAATTTTTTAAAGTTGTTACATGATCATGAAGCAAAGTTTAAACTACATTTGGTTAGGGGCGCCTGGGTGGCTCAGTCGTTAAGCGTCTGCCTTTGGCTCAGGTCATGATCCCAGGGTTCTGGAATCAGTCCCCACATTGGGCTCTCTGCTCAGTGGGGAGCCTGCTTCTCCCTCTCTCTCTGCCTGCTGCTCTGCCTGCTTGTGCTCTCTCTCTGTCAAATAAATAAAATCTTTAAGAAAAAAAAACCACTACATTTGGTTAAAAATGAATACATATACGTGGCAGTGTATTTATGGCATGTGGTTTAAAATGTATAGATGAAGCAGGTATCTATCTTTCTGGAATATTATAAGAAAAAAATGTTATCTGTGAACTGTTTCAAATTTTTCATATGTTCTAAACTCAATGAGGCATTTATGTTTAAGAGGACGTATTCACTGCTCAGTTTTGATGTATTACTGCATCTGCATTTCCCATCTTTTTTCCTTTTAAAAAGTCTCACAGAAACAGACACTTCCAGTTGCTCCCAGAACTCGAACTTCTCAAGAAGAATTGCTGGCAGAAATGGTCCAGGGGCAAAGCAGGACCCCCAGAATAAGTACCCCCATTAAAGAAGAGGAAACAAAGGGAGATAATATAGAAAAAAGCCAAGGTAATAATTTAAATAACATGTCATTCTCTACTCTTACACTTTCTCATGAGGCTTTAAACATTTGCCAGTGGGTGTTTATGAAATGTTAGTTCTATGAGAAAACTGCTCATTAGGCCCAAAAATAGGATGAGAAGGCACCATGAGGAAAGTCTAAGCCTACACATTTCAGAATCTTTATAAGTCTTTTTATTATAGAAATTTTTAATGTTTTTAAAAGTGGGAAGAATAGTGCAATGAATTCCCATGAACCCAGTTACCTAGCCTTAATAATTACCCAGTATTTTGTTGGTCCTAAGAAAGTTTCTACTTAGAGATACATAGATACTTGCATTTTTTCTTCTTTTTGTTAATCCTACCCCTGTTCTCTTGAACTGGGAATTGCATCTTTAAATCTCCTTTTTTAGCATCCTTTCTTTGACCTGGTCAATTGTCCCAGTGGCCCTACTTTATTCTTTTGCTGCTGGCAAACTGCAGTTAGCCTCGAGCTGATCTTCCGCAGAAAGATCTCAACCCCCACTAACTCCCATCTCCAGTACACTTTGCCTGTCTAAAGTGTGCTCTGATCATGTGATCATGATCATCTTGAGAGCATTATAATGTTTCCACCTCATGCATTGTCTGGGATTGATGCCATCAGCTTGGCCTTTAGGCAGTTTGGCTGTCTGGTCTCTGGGCCTGCCCAGTCATTTTCCACTGCTCTCCAACCTCTTCTCTTCCTATCAGAAAAGGTCCTAGTTTCCATCTTTTTCTTTTCTATTGAGAGCTAATTTAGAAAACCCCATCAAAACTGAATGCTCGTCATGTTATTTCTGACTTACACTTTTCTAATGCTGGCATGCATTTTTTTCATTCCTCCTTAACTGTGTTCTTTGAAACTGTTCAGGTTGAAACTGTTTCAGGTTCATTTCAGATTTGTTTCATGAGGCCTTAATGATTCCATTCTGTATTTGTCTCTTCATTCTCTCTTTTAAAAAAAAAAATCCTTTTATTGTGCATTTTGCCATGTCAGCATTATGTGCAAATCCAACAAATGATGGACCTGAGAACAGGAATATTCCAAAACAGCCAGTAGGTACTAACTAGAAAGTGTAAATGGGCCAATTTGTAAAGAGCAACTGGAAAGCATTTGAGCTTCAGTGTGGGTAAGAATTGGCAGTGTATTGAAGCCCATCCAACAGGTTTAAATCCAAGATTTCATATATTTTTTTAAAGATTTTATTTATTAGAGCACGAGCAGCAGGGAGGGGTAGAGGGAGAAGCAGACTCCACACTGAGCAGGGAGTCCGATGTGGGACTTGATCCCAGGACCTGGGATCATTACTTGAGCCGAAGGCAGATGCTTAAGCAACTGAGCCACCCAGGCACCCCCATGATTTCGTATTTTTAAAAGTAAATTAATTGGTCCCCTTCTAGAGGTATAATAGATACTAATTCATTGTCTTGAAAACTGGATAAATAAAATTATTGAGCATTTATGCTGTCTTTCCGTTAAAGAATGGTATCCCTGTATAACCAAATAGTATAGGAGTTAATATCTGCTTTTGTAAATATAGTTTTATTGGACTCATTCATGTATATATTGTCTCTTGCTGCTTTTGTACTATATGCAGAGTTGAATATAGCCGATGAGGAAAGCACTTTTTTTTTTTTAAGATTTTATTTATTTATTTGACAGAGAGACACAGCGAGAGAAGGAACACAAGCAGAGGGGTGAGAGAGGGAGAAGCAGGCTCCCCGCAGAGCAGGGAGCCCGATGTGGGGCTCGATCCCAGGACCCTAGGATCATGATCTGAGCCAAAGGCAGACACTTAACAACTGAGCCACCCAGGCACCCCCCCCCCTTTTTTTTCTCTAAACTCTGTGCCCAATGTGGAGCTTGAACTCATGACCATGAGATCAAGAGTTGCATTCTTCAGACTGAGCCAGCCAGGCACCCCTAGAAAAAGCATTTTTAAAAATTCCTCCAGCTAATAAGTAAAAACAGAATGATAGGATTATAGCTTGTTGGGCTTTTTTCCCCCCTCAACTCAGTGAATTAATCTAGGCACTGATGATTAATGGCTACTAAAAAAAGCAAAATAGTTCATGCCTCCAGATGAAAGAATAAAACTACCTTAGTCTTGGCAGCAGGTCTTTTTGCCCATAAGTCCTGTCCCCATGCTTTAATAAAATCACTGTTTTGCACCAAAAAAACAAAACTACCTTAATCTTGCCAGAGGATTTGAACCTGGGTTATCAGGGTTCTGATCCAGCAGTCAACTTGCAGGAAGTACAGAGGCCCAAGGAATATGTTGGTTGTCACATCATGAATGTGCATGCAGCAGGCAAAGAACAGTCTCTGGGACTCCATATAGGTCAAACAGCCTGAGAATTCTAGATTAAAAGACAAAATAACAAGGTGCAAGGTTAAACTGTAGTGTCTAGAGATACACACTTGTGTGCCACAAAGAAATTTTAGGTTACTATAAGGCATAAATGGTTACTTTAGGAGAGGACTGATCGAGATGGAGCAAATATGGAAAGGTTTCTGGGGTGGTTGGCACAGTTTTATTTTCTGGACCTGAATGGTGACTGTAAGGATGTTTTGCCTTACAAAATTCATTAAGCTCCTGTTTTGTGTGGTTCTCTCTGTGTTTGTTTTAAAAGTAAGAGGTCAAAAATTTGAAATGGAATCAAGTACATCTGATGAGGACTTACTACTCTTAATTGGTTTATTCGCAAGTGCAAAGTGACATTCTGCAAGCAGCGATTAATTACTGTGCTTATTACTGTTTTACAACTTTGTGACTAAAATCTAAATCTGCATACATATATTGGCACGAGTTGTTAGTGTTTTTTCATCTCTCTGGTCTCTGTATTTTTACTAGCCTAACCACCTCACAGTATTCATGCTATTTCTCTTTTTGTCTTGGATTAGTCTGTCAGCAGAAGTTTATTTTGTTAATGTGTTCAAAGACTTAACAACAATAATTCTGGCTTTTTCGATTCTCCTTTGATGTCTTGGTTTTCTATTTCTTTGGTTTCTGCTCTTATTTTTAATATATCCACCTATATTTTTAATTATTAATTTATCTCTGCTTGTCTTTTCAAATGTAAACATTTAAGCTGTAAATTTCTCCTGAGGTGCCATTTCTGTTGCATATCACAAATTTTGATATATAATGTTTTTATTATCAAAGTATCTTTAATTCCTATTATGATCTTCATCTTTGACCTGAGTTATTTGGAAATGTTTGTAATTTATAGTATACAGAGGATTTGTCTTTTAGTCTTTTATTATGTACTCCTGACTTGATTGCATTGTGTCAGTGTGATCTGTGTAATACATATTTTTTGAAAATTGTTAAGACTTAAGACATTAATTTTGCACATCTTCCATGTGCATTTTGAAAGGAAGTGGGCTGTAATTGTTGGATTGAGAATTTTGCATTGAGTAGATAAAGCTCTATGGTTATGTTGTTCAAATCTTGACCTTACTGGGTGTTTGGTTTGCTTGACTTAATGAGAGAAGGTCTTGAGATTGTCCATTACGATGACAAATTTATCTCAATTTCTCTATACTTCTGTCATATTTGTTTTCCATGCCTTTGTTGTCAGTCTTCTCTGACCTTCTCTTTAATGCTTTAGGCAGATATATCTCTTAAATACTATAAAGCTAGATTGTTGTTTTTGTTTCTTTTGTAAAGATTTTATTTATTCCGGGGGGTGGGGCGCGGAGCAGAGGGAGAGGGACAAGCAGACTTTGTGCTGAGTGTGAAACCCGATGTGGGGCTTGATCTCAGGACCCTGAGATCATGATCTGAGCCAAAACCAAGTCAGACCCTTAACTGACTGAAAGCCCAAGGCGCCCCTAGATTGTTGTTTTTTTAACCCAATCTGAGTTTCCCTATTAATGGAAAGTTTAAGCCATTCATAGCTCTGTCATCTTTCTTTCTTTCTTTCTTTCTTTTTTTTTTTGCCAAAGATTTTATTTATTTGACAGAGAAAGAGAAAGCACAAGCAAGGGGAGTGGCAGGCAGAGGGAGTGGGAGAAGCAGTCTCCCTGCTGAGCAGGGAGCCCAATGCGGGCTCGATCCCAGGACCCCTGGGATCATGACCTGAGCCAAAGGCAGATGCCTAACCAACTGAGCCACCCAGGCACCCTTCTTTTTTGATTCATAATGGCCTTTCATCTTTTTCCTCCCTGTTTGCCTTTAAGATTCATTAGTCACTATTGTTGATTGCCCCAGCTCTGCATTTTATTTTTTAACTAAACACTCCATTTCTGTTCATTCAGTGGTTAGCACTGAAATTTTACCATGCAAATTTAATTGCATATTCCAGAAGTTAATGTTCTGATCCCATTTCCAAAGTAAATGAACTGTAGTTCCAGTCTTTACCCTTCTGGCTTATGTTGTTTCCAGTTTTTCATTTTAGTCATTTTTTAAATGCATAAGTTGGGCACCATTATTATTTTACCCAGGCAATGTTTACCTACGTGTTTATCAGTTTTTGTTCTCAAATCTTGAATGTTACTCGGGGATATCATCTTCCAATGTTTTGAAGTATTTTTGAAGTGTATTCTTTGGCAGTTTCTTTAAGAATGGGTCTGTTGCTCTAAATTTGCCAAGAGTCTGTTTATCTTTGTGATTTTTCCTTCCTTGTTCTTGTGCAGTAATTTTGCTGGATACCAACAGTTATTCTCAACACCTTGTATGTATTATTCCGTTGTCTTCTGGCTTCCATTATTGTTGAGTGGACTTCTGTCATTCTAATTGTCTGTCGTTCCTTTGTAGGTGATCTGTCCTTTCTCTGGCTGCTTTCAAGATCTCTTTGTCTTTGATGTTCTGCAGTTTCACTACGATGTGTCTAGGCGTGGATTTCCTTTGGTTTTCCTATTTTGTATATGTTGTATAAAAAGCATTTAAATAAAATATTTTACATATGAAATAACGTTTCCCGTAGAAAATTTGGAAAAGCAGATCTTGGTAATGTTTGTTGATAGATTAGAAACTAATCAA